TATGGTTGGGTTTTGGTCAACATATTCCCAGTCACTTGTAGCTAGGTCCAAATGTGCATCAGCCACAAATTCAGGAGTCCACATTTCTTCCTGTGTCCCTAGACTCAACCTTAGACCCACATGGGCTCAGTCAACACATCAGTGATTCTCAGGATTCCCTACTACACAAATCAGCAATCCTGCTTCACTTACTTACCTTCTTCATCATGCTAGGTGGATAGTGCTGGAGGGACATGTCCAAGCTCAAACAGTCTCTTCATTACTGCCTGTCTCTCACTTCCACTTATCAAGCGAATCCAGGTGGTCACCACGAGTTGAACTTATTCACCAGCTTCCTTTAATGTTATGTCCTTTAAAGGAGGCTCTGATGCTTTGTACTAAATAGACACAGGTGGCCACCTTGAGTTAAGCATGCTCATCAGCTTCCTTTAACATGAACTCCTGGAAAGGGGGTTCTGATGCTTCCCACTTTGACTCATCAATTAGACCCAGATGATTCCCATGAGCTAAGAACTTCAAGCCTTGGAAATGGGGTTATGATGAGCATAAGCTTTACCTTGTTCATTGGCAAACCTTCTTTTTATACTTTTCTTCTTATAGTTTTTTATAGTTATAAAAAGGTTTCATGTATATCTCAACATTATGACATATAAAGAAGAAAAAAAAGCAGCATAATGTTGAGATATATTGTAAAAATTAACATGAGGGGTATACAATGTTAAGATATACTGTAAAAATGACTAACATTTTTGTTTCTTTTTTTTTTTTTTTTTACATTCCAAAGTTTTATTAGATTTGTTTAGATTGTTGCTATTGTTAGTTGCTCATTTTTGTTTCTTTAACTATGCTAGATTTTTTATATTGAGTATATATTGTAGATGGTGGAAAGTACAATAGAGATATACTTGGGAAGGATTGTTGTTGTTGTTTAATGCCGTCGAGTCGTAGACGACTCATAGCAACCCTATGAACGAACAGCCTGAGTGCTGTTCATACATAAAGTTTTTGAAGGCAAGCCATTTCGGAGGTGGATGCCGCTCCTGCTTCCAGTGGGAAGGATTACAGTTAAAATTATTGTCTGTTTCTACAAACTGGGAGATAACAGTTAGAATGTTACTTTTGCTGCTATTAAGATGGGAAGTTTCAGAAGCTACATTATGGCCTGAGACAAAAGGGTAGAGAATGAAGATGAAATGGAGAATTTCTTTAAAAGAAACCAAGTCCAAAATTTACAAAACCAAACCATGTTTCTATGACTCTGGTAAAGCAAATCCCAGCACTTCTGACATTCTCTCTAAAAGGGGCAAATACAACATAGATGTGGCCCAGTTTGACTTCTACCTGCTTCATGAAGGGGAACTGTCTTCATCAATAACATCTATAGTACAAAAAAATAGCTACATGATCAGACATGCCACACTTCATGTTCCTGTTCCTATTTCTATGAATTATTTGATACAATGCCCATTGCAAATTGACTCACAAAATTTACATACATTTGTAGGGTTCATTAGGGAAATAGGTTGGGGAGGTGGGGGAGACAAAGGATACCACATAATGAAAGTCCAGCTTTGGTGAATGGCAGCTCCAAGCCAGACTAACAGCAATACACAATTTCTCATTTAGTTTAGACAGCTTCTCAGTCAACAAGTGAAAGTCTAGCAGCACAAATATCAGGTTTCCCTTCATTTGTCCAGTAAGCTTTGTCTCATATCAGTCATAAGTTAGCCCTTCATTCTGTCATCCAGAAGCAAAACCGTTAGCTTTGGCTTCGTCTTCAGAATTCTGTTAGGCTTTATCTTGCCACAGTCTCTTCAGAGCACTCTCTATTCTATTGATTCAACAGCTATTGATGATTTGAAAGACCATGTGCCTTGTTGAAGTAAGCTGGCTACCATTTCCCCAGTGGGGGCTAAAAGCAATGGTTAAGAAAGCAAATTTTAAGGTAATTTACTGACAACACCCACCAGTTATTTATTGAATATCTTTTACATATCATGACTTATGCTAGGATCTGTAGAATAGGCAATAGTGTATTTGAGAGAGTAAGAGCAGAGTCTTTTGAAAAACCAAGGCTGTGTTCAAAGCTTGCATTGTTTCTTAAAGTGTGACTGTGGACCTGCTCATTTAGAGCATTTAATCTTCAAATCTACTAAAAATAAAAGCAATACCTTTTGGATTTTTGCTGTTGTTTTTAGGTGTTATTGAGTTGGCTCAAATTCCATGCAACAAAATTAAAAACTACATGATCTTACACCATTCACATAATTGTTCTATAGTATTAGTTTATAGATAGAGTGTCAGTCTAGAGACTAACATACACATGGTCTAGGTCATGATCTTTGCAATTACTTGTTATGCATCAAAGAGCAGGACTAAGGATGTTAGAAGAATTAATGCCTTTGAGCTGTAGTCCTGGAGAAGAGTATACCATGGGCTGCTAGAAGAACAAACAGGTTAGTCCTGAAGACGATGAAACCAGGCTGCTTTTTTGGAGGCAAGGATTTTTAAGCTCTTTATGACATACTTTTGGCATGCTGTAAGGGAGACCAGACCTTGGAGAGGGGCATCATGCTTGAAAAGGTGGAGGAACAGTGCAATAGAGGAAAACCCTGGATGAAATGGATTGATTCGGTGAGTGGCATAATGGGGGTAGGTGTGTCAGAGACAATGAGATTGGCTCAATATAGAGCAGGGTTCAGCAATCATAGGGTCACTATGAGCTCCAAGTGACTTGAAGGCATATAACAATAACAACATAGATAGGGCTATTGCTTGTTGTGTGCTGTCAAGTCAAAATTGACTCATAACTCATAGCTGACCATCCGGTGGGTTTTCAGAGGCAGTAAATTTGACAAGTAGAGATTGTTCATCCTTCTTCCACGGAGCAGTTAGTTGTTATGAACTGCATGTCTTTGGCATTGTGGCACAGCTTCTTACCTCTACCACCAGAGCTCCCTACAGGTAAGGGCAGTTACTACAATTCTTCGCAACACAGAGGAAGTATAGTTTTGCAGACAGACAAAGGAAACAATTTCATTTAAAGTGGAAAAAAATATTTTTAAAAAAAAACTGAATGACGGTTAAAAGGCACAAAGAGGGTCTGTTGTAGGGTATTTTTGTACTGTCACAAATACTATTTTCAAAGAGTCAAAGTTAGTTTAATTGGATTAATAAATCTAATCTCTATTCTGTGCTATGCCCCTGATGTTCCTTATTCTAGAGGAAGGCACTGGCAGATACAGAGGAATTTAAAGAAATAACATATGAGCAAGAGCCTATGGTGATGAAGGAAGAAGTTCAAGCTGCTTTGAAGGAAATAGCAAAAAATAGGGCCCTAGGAATAGATGATATACCAATTGAAGTATTTCAGATAACAGATGTTGCCCTGGATGTGCTCACCAAGTTGTGCCAAGAAATCTGGAGAACAACCACTTGGCCAACTGACTGGAAGAGATCTATATTTGTTCCTATTCCAAAGAAAGGTGACCCAAATGAGTGTGAAAATTACAGAACAGTGTCATTGATTTCACATGCAAGCAAGATTCTACTGAAGATTATCCAAAAACGATTAGAACAGCACATCAGCAGAGAACTGCCAGAAGTCCAGGCTGCGTTTAGAAGGGGTCGTGGTACTAGGGATATTGTTGCTGATGTTAGATGAATCTTGGCTGAAAGCAGAGAATACCAGAAGAATGTCTATCTGTGTTTCATTGATTATGCAAAGGCATTTGACTGTGTGGATCATGACAAACTGTGGCTGACTCTGACAAGAATGGGAATCCCAGAACATTTAATTGTGCTAATACGAAACCTATACTTGGATCAAGAGGCAGTAGTCAGAACAGAGCAGGGTAACACTGCATGGTTCAAAATTGGGAAGGGTGTACGCCAGGGATGCATCCTGTCTCCATACCTTTTCAACATGTATGCAGAGCAGATTATCCGAGAAGCTGGGCTCTATGAGGAGAATTGTGGCATCAGGATTGGTGGAAGATCTATTAACAATCTGCATTATGCAGATGACACAACCCTGCTTGCTGAAACTGAGGAGGACCTCATGCACTTGCTGCGAAGGGTCAGGGACTGCATCCTTCACTATGGACTGAGGCTCAATGTCAAGAAGACAAAGATTCTCACCACTGGACCAATTGGCAGCGTCAGGATGGATGGCAAAGCGACTGAGATTGTTCACAGCTTCAGTTTGCTCGGCTCCACAGTCAACACTCTTGGCACCAGCAGTCAGGAAATCAAAAAGTGTATCGCGTTGGGAAAGTCTGCTGTTAGGGACCTCTCTAAAGTACTCAGGAACAACGGTGTCTTTCTGGAGACTAAGGTGTGCCTGATACAGGCCATGGTATTTGCAATCGCTTGTTATGCCTCAGAGAGTTGGACAATGACTAGGGAGGATAGAAGGAGAGTGGATGCTTTTGAGCTGTGGTGCTGGAGAAGAGTACTGAATGTACCATGGACTGCCAGGAAAACAAACAGATTCATCTTGGAGAGGATTAAACCAGGCTGCTCCTTGGAGGCAAGGATTCTGGGGCTTCATCTGACATACTTCGGACATGTTGCCAGGAGGGATGGGTCCTTGGAGAGGGACATCATGCTTGGGAGGGTGGAGGGACGGCGCAGGAGGGGAAGACCCTCTATGAGATGGATTGATTCGGTGACTGGGGTAATCGGGATGGGTGTGTCGGAGGCAGTGTGGTTGGCGCAGAATAGAGCAGGGTTTAGGGCTGTTGTGCATAGCGTCGCTATGAGTCGAAAACGACTCGACGGCATATAACAACAACAACAACAACAACAGAGGAAGGCATTCAGGCTAATCTTAGATTTAGAGGTATGTAATAAAGATTACTGAGACACACAAACAAAATTTCTTACCACTTCCAGAGAAAGCATCTACACTTATCACTTATTCATTTAGGGGGGGGGGGAAATGGAGGATGATCCTAAGAGAATATTCTTCTAAAATGCGTTTCTAAGTCCAAAATTTACTACAGAACAGTAAGTACTGCATTATGGAACACCTTTTTAAGAGACTTTTTAACTTCTTTGTTCCTTAAGGAATAGATTAATGAGTTCAGCATGGGTGAGACAAGATTATTTAATATTTGTACTACAGCACCAAGCAAGGGTTTGGGTGTGGGTTGCAGATAAATGATGATTACTGGTCCATAGGCACACAGTATCGCTGTGAGATGGGCACTGCAGGTGGAGAAAGCTTTTTGCCTGCCCTCTGCTGAATGGATCCTCATAATGGCAAGCCCAATGCGAGTGTAGGATACACAAATACTGAGTAAAAGCATTAATGCCAAAAGGCCAACATTGGTAAAGCCCACTCTCTGAGCCAGAGAGTTATCAGCACAAGCCAGGGGGATGACAGCAGGAATGTCACAGAAGAAATAATCCACTTGATTTGGGCCACAATATGTTAATTGAAAGGTAAAACAGGTCAATATGGTGGCATCAAGACAACCCACCAAACAGGCCCCTACAACCAAACCCACACAGACCTTGGTTTTCATGATAAGCATATATCTCAATGGGTGACAGATGGCCACAAAACGATCATATGCCATCACAGAGTAGAGGCAGCCTTCTGTACAACCCAGAAAATGATAGAAGAAGAGCTGTGCAGCACACCCGTTATATGAGATGGCTTGACTCTGACCAGAGAGATAGAAAAGCATCTTAGGACAAGTTACAGAAGGGAAAAATACGTCAAAAATAGACAGGAGTCCCAAGAAGAAATACATGGGGATATGAAGAGTAGATGAAGAAACAATGGCTATGAGGATAAGTAAATTGCCAAGCAAGGTAAAAATGTAGATGGACAAGAAGACAACAAACAGCACAGTCTCCAGTCCTTTGGTCTGTGGTATTCCCAGCAGAATGAATTCCCTCAGTTCTGTGTGATTCCTCATATTCTCCAGAAAGTGATCTAGATAGAGACAGAAATGTGAAAACAGAAATGTACATTGCAAAGGACACAACATGAATATATTCATTCTTTCCAATCTTAAGCATAAAGATGATCCCAGAATTGGGAAACAGACATTCTGTCATAGATATTCCAAAAGACACTTAAAGGCTAGGAAAGTAAATCTTCCTACCTCAAGATATCATACTTATTCGGGAAATGTTACTGGCTACAAAGCAAAACAAAACATTAAACATCTGAAAATACTAGGTGAGTTAAAGGAATAAAGATCTTTATGTTGTTGTTGTTGTTATGTGCTGTCGAGTCACTTGCTACTCATAGGGACCTTATGTGCAACAGCCCTAAACTCTGCTCTGTCCTGTGCCAATTGCACTGTCTCTGACACTCCCATCCCGATTTCCCCAGTCACTGAGTCAATCCACCTCATAGAGGGCCTTCCCCTCCTGCACTGTCCCTCCACCCTTCCAAGCATGATGTCCTTCTCCA